GGAGGGACCAAATCGGGGTAAAAATGGTAAACAGTAGGGACCAAATCAAAAATTTTTTTAGTTCAGGGACCAAATCGGGAGTCCGTACAATAGTTCAGGGACCAAAAAGGGGTTTTAACCTTAATTTAACTTATTTGGTTTATTTCTTAAATATTCAATTAATCTTAAATAATGTTAACTTCATTTGACCAATTACTATGTGCCATGTGTCATTTAAAATTCATTTATTAATTTGTTTAAATATTTGAGTTTGAAATGGATCACATGCCATATAACACCTGTCACATGGCTATTCTTTATCATGGTGACACTGACTAGGAAAGACTTAACGGCAATATAACACACACGTGATGCATGTGAGGCTCTGACGTTAAATTTTGCTTTATTTTCATAAACTTGAAAAATTGGAGGGTAAATAATCATAAATTGTAAATTGAGAGGTAAAGTGCCTCATACTAGAAAAGTTGAAGGGCAAAGTGGGGGTTTTTGCCAGGAATTCTTTATGAAGAAGAACAATTATGAATAACATTTACAGATAAATTTTAACATGCAAATGCCATAAAAGGAGTTCCAAGAAGAAGAGTTTGGGAACCATCTATCAGGGATTCATTTAAGCAAAAAACAATTAAGCATAGAAGCATGAAAGAGTTGTGCGTTCAGAGGTCTTAATAGTGCTAATTGACTCAAGAGAGCTTATTAATCTTGGGGCATGTATATGCTTTCAGCATAAGGACTGAAAGAATTCGTTTAGACATACAATGGACTGAAAGCTATGCCTGCGCTTAGCATCATTGCTTGCAGCTGTTTGCCATTCTTCATATATAGCTATTATCACCAACAATATCACGAGCACTAGAAAAAGAAGAAACCTAGACAGCATCAGATAATCAGATTGTTCAACATTCTCACGAAGTCTGACTAATTATAGAAAAGTGCATGAAAGAATTTACTTGGTTCTATTGCCTGAAAGTGAAGTGATGAGTAGAACCTACTTTTCCCTATGGCCGTATCACATAAGCTTCCAAAGGAGTCTCTCTTACTCAAAGTCTTCAACAATAATGGAATTGCAGGACTCAGGAACCATCACCCAATACATTTATAAATTCCACTTCTGGCTCAGGCATAATATATAGAAGACAAAAGGATCTCACAAAGCTGCACAGCAGCTAAGAGAGAAAGAACAACTTGGACATAGGATACATACGATTTGTTGTCTGATGTTGATTATCAGGCTTCTTTGATGAAGATGAAGGGGCACTATGCTACTGATTAAGGAAGAGAATCAGCTGTGTTCTGAAAAGGCCGATTAACGAGAAAATTGCAAATTTTTTTGTATTTGTGTAAGGTTGGCCAAAGAATAAAAACAAGCAAATTGCAATCAGACTGTAGATGGAAAACTTTTCAACCATAATTAAAAGGGTTTAATAACCATCCAGAGTTCAAACTTAACAAAGAGTTTGCCAAGTAGCATATTTTTTCGTCCAACTGATATCTAACAACTCAGAGAAGGAATGTACCTTAACTACGAGTTGTTCTGAAACACCAAATCCAAAAGGCCTGGGTTTTTGCTGTTGCTTTTGAGAGCCAAACCCATATGCATTAGAGACTTCTACCGTTGCTGAGTGACATTAAGGGATTTACCTCTGTTACCTTACTTACAGCTGAACGAGAAAAAGGCAAGGATTAAACGAAAAGCTTAACAACAAATTCAATGCAAAGACAAATCAATAAGCAGATAACCAAACAGAAAGTAAGCACACAACGATAACTATTTGCCCAGAAAAAAAAAAAAAAGTCATAAAATTACAAACTGATGCAAAAATTGATTTGATGATGATGATGGGCAATTGGGATATAGCTACTGGCTCAAAATATTAAAAAAGGATAATGCATGATAAATGTTCGATGAAAGTCCGAGGAGAAAGAAACTAGTAGAAAGAAGTTAATCACAATCACAGGGCATGAGAACAACACACATTAAACTGAATGATTCGAAAGCATTACTCATTGGAAGGAATCAATGTTGGATATAAATTTGTGAGAAGAGGAAACACCAGCCCCTCCTTGAAAGCTATGGAGATGTTACCGTCTGCAGATTCTGCAGTAAGATCTCACCGACCTAAGATGCATGTAAAATAAGATTATTTCATTTTGTTTCTCTTCATACTATGATTCTGGTGTTACCATTTTCTTTAATTTTGATTTGTATAATAAAAGGTAAGTTGGTTAAAAAAATTAGAAGGTAATTGACACATTCCATGATGTTTTTATTTTTTTGTTTTTTGAACAACTTTACAATTTTGAAGTTGAGGAATTCGAAACCTCACTTAAAATACTCTTTAAGATTTGATTTATAATTTTTAAATTGTGAAATAACATATTTTATAACTGTTGAACTGTGAAAGTCGAGTGGCATAAATATGTTTTTAACTTAAAAATAATAATATTTTTTATTTCTACAAAAGGAAGATTATCATTATGTCAATTAGGAAAATGATTATTATTGGTCATTTTTTTAGCACATCTTATTTGATAAATAAATTATATAATAGTAAAACATGATTTTTCTCTTTTCAATCCATTTATCTTAAAGACTCAAAATTGAAACTTATACTTAGGAAGTAGGATATATATCCATTGCAAACATTTAGAGTAGGGCATTGATGTATGTTCTAGGGTTCTAGCCTTTTTTTTTTTTTTTCAAACATCTCACTGTTAAAACTAATTCCATGAATAAAAGAGACAAGACTAAAAAAACATGGGAGAAAGATTTTTTTTAGTATTATTTTATAATAACTTTATTTATATGTCATATAATTTAAATTAATAGTTTTTTTTCTGGTTGTACAATGAGAAACAATCATCTCCCATCTCCTATCTCACCCCACCGTATGTTATGCGATTCAAATTCATTCCTTATTTCATCTTACTCGCATGTTATGCGATTCGAATTCATAATTTTTTATCTTTAAGAAAAAAAGTAATCACTGAGTTATTTAAGTTGTTAATATCATTACTACTTCTTAGTTTCACTATAAATTAAATTTTTATTAATACTTCTTAGTTTCACTATAAATTAAATTTTTATTTACTTATTTTCATTTTAATTTAAAATTCTTATCCTTTAGTTTCAACTTTAATTTTCAAAGAGTCACGTAATCAATAAAAATGAGATTAACCTTTTATTAGCATAATCATGGAAGCTTATGAAGTGATAACATCACCTATTTAAAAATTACTTACGGTAGGCACTATTTTTCAGACAAAAGTTATCAATAAATACTAATAATAGGCTTAATTCAATTTTTAGTCTATTAACTATCACCTTGATTTTATTTTAGTCTAGAAACTATGTTTTATTTCTAAGTGGTTTATTAACTTTCAGATTCATTTTAATTTCATCTAGCAAGGTTATCTTTGACGGAAAACTTATTATTCTGTTAGAGAACAGTTAGTCCTCTAACTATATTTATTTTGATGTTTTAGTCCTCAAATTTATATTTATTGTAAAAACAACTTTTATACTTAAAATTATTATTTTTAGGCTCTGATACCGAATTTTTATTCAGGTTTTCAGAACTTAATTCAGACTACTACTAACTAACGAATAGCTGATATGTTAAGCTTAGTTAGTGTGGAATTAGATCTACTAGACTACTAACAAAAATAATCACTTTCTAGTTGTGTCTAGATCTTATAAAATTTTTTTATCTATATCACTTTCTAGCTGTAGAATTATTTTATTATATATTTTTATGATTTGATTGCAAATTTTTCAGCGATTGCTTTTAATGTCTTTAATAAACCTTATTTCTTCTTTTATTTCTTTTAATTTTCTCGAGTTTTTAACATTATTTATTCTTTCTTTAATATAATCAAATTCTTGAGAAAGAGATTTTCTCATTTTTTTAATTCTTCTTAGGGTATTTTCATTAATTGTTTCTATTTTTAAAATATTATCAGTTATTCATTAGTTAATAGTAGTCTGAATTAAGTTCTGAAAACCCGAATAAAAATCTGGTATCAGAGCATAAAAATAACAATTTTAAGTATAAAAGCTGCTTTTACAGCAAATATAAATTTGAAGACTAAAAAATCAAAACAAATATAGTTAGAGGACTAACTGTTCTCTAACAGAATAGTAAGTTTTCCGTCAAAGATAACAGGTAGACAAAATTGAAATAAATCCGAAAGTTAATAGATCACTTAGAAATAAAACATAGTTTCTAGATTAAAATGAAATCAAAGTGATAGTTAATAGACTAAAAATTGAATTAACCCAATAATAATGAGATTTATTAACCTATTCTCTTACATTTAACATTCACTTGACAGAAATACCAGTTATTAGTACTAATATTATAAAATTTATACTTATAACGCATGGAATTAGGAGAGATATTTATTCACTATTTTTTCATTCAAAATATCGAAATGTTTAATTTCATTTACATAATAAATAAGATTTAAATAAAATTTACATTATAAACATAAAAAAGAATAAGACTTCATAGTATAAAAAAAAATCATTATAATATTAAAAATGTCAAAATATCTCATCATAACTATTAAATATATAATGCATAATATAAGTCTTAATTTTATTAAATTCATTATATAATTATAATTAAAGTCTTGACATTTTTAATATGAGATTTATAAGATATATTTTTAATATCGAGATAATTTTAATTATATAGTTAATAAATTATTTTATCAAATTTATTTTATAATTATTATTGTTAAAATCTTAACATTTTTAACATCTAGACTTCCAAATATTATATCGCACCTTGTGCTGTAATTAAAGGTTATGATATATTTTTTGAATTACAGGATATCTTTTTTTACAACCTCTTAATTAATTAAAATCAAAATGTTAATTTTCAACTTAACATAAAAGGGAAAAGAATTTTATAATGCGAATAGCCCCAAAAAAGAAAGAACTATTAATTACTACCAGTAATTAAAGTTAAACCGCCGAGCCGACTCCGTTTGGCGTAGAACCAAAAATTCCTGGAGTCGTTGAATGCGAGAAAAGAACAAAAAGAGGAAAAAAAAAATTGTCTTATGAATTTAATAACAAAAATTCACCAACAACACAATAGAACCTCTGCGGAATCCCATCCAGATTTATATATTCATTCATTAACAGCTTGATTCCCTCTCTCTTTTCATTCGCAGTTTGACGAGCCCTAGATCTTGAATCCAGATTTCAGTTCTTTTCAGCTCCCGTTCTCAGGTATTTTCTTGGCATTTTCATTCTTTTCTTTTTAGTTTTTTCTTTTCTCCTAATTTTTAGTTTATGGAGATGGGTTTGGGTTTTGAATCAATCTTTCGGTTCATGAAGCTGAGGGAGAGGAGAAAGTCTCGATCTTTGAATGTATTCGGTTCGTTAAAGTAAACATTGTGTCCTCAATCATGAGAAAACTATGTAGTTCTTTTCTTATTTTTGGAATTTCTTGTGGTGAGGTTGATTAATGGATTGCTGGGTGCGATTGAGTGTCCATTTTGGATTTGGGGGTTGAACGGGTCTTTGTTTTTGTGTTGGCTAAGACTGTAGGAGGCGTTGATTGTTTGACTTTTATAATACGTCTAGATTTTGGTATATATTTATTTTAGAACCCTGGTTGGTTTCGATAGTTGAGGAAATTCAAGGACTTTGCGTTGGAATCAAGGGGTTTGCTATCGGGTTACTTGATTTGGTATGTTTCATTTGGAGGGTATAGGCTATTAAGCTCTTTTGTGCGAGGGGGGAAGGTGAGTAGGGTATTTTATAGCTCATTTTCAAGAGTCTTTGAATGCGCAATTTGATCGTCTCTGCTCATCATCTTCTATTTCTCATTCCTTTTTCTCCTCCCTTTTGAATTTTGGAATTTTTTTTTCCCTCCATGACTTGCTGTGGGATTTGATGTTAATGTTTTTAAGTCTTTATCACCAATTCACCATTTTAAAATATCCTCAGCATGACATTCTTGTTTTTTTCATCAAATTATGGGCTCATTCTCTCTTAATTTAGGGATATCAATATTGCATAATGATAATATTCACTCAGCTTCATAATCATGATCCTTTCTTGACTTAGCACACACTTTAAGCAAATAGCACTAAGTGAATTTATACATTAGTATTTCAATTCAAATCCTTTGGTAAAAGTTCTTTTTTATGTTCTGTTATCCATAGTCAATTCTTTAAACAGAAGGCTATCAGTGGAAGAAAGCAACCTCCTTTATTTGATATTTTCACTGTGGAATAAAGTTCTGGAACACTATATATGAGATGCGCTGACTATAATTTTCAAACAGAGGGAATGGCTAACTGGGTTTTAATTGCATTTTTGATTCTTATTATGTTATGTTTAATGCATTTGCTTGTGCTTTCTATTCTCAGATATCTGTGGCTGTCGGTTGGATACCAATTCATTGTCTGAGGTGTGATGGTGGAAGGAAAGTCTAGTGAATAAGAGAATTACGTGGAGATAAAGCGGTGATGCATTTATACTAGATGAAGGCAGGTCAGGTGTGGCATCTGGGCAACATTGGTGTCATGCAGATCTTGCCTGGGACTCGCCACCGCCCTCCTTTGAAGAGGCCTATATGGATTATTTTCTTGGTTTCATTAGTCAGCCTTTTTCTAGTTTGTGCCTACATCTATCCACCACAGGGCAGTGCTGCCTGCTATGTATTTTCTTCTAGGGGTTGCATGGTTCTTTCTGATTGGCTGCCTCCTGTTCTGGCTAGAGAATATACTGATGAAGAGATTGCATCTCGTGTTGTGGCTAGAGAAATTTTGAAAATGCCTCCTATCAAGTCCGAAAATTCTAAAATAGCATTTATGTTCTTGTCTCCTCATTCGCTGCCTTTCGAGAAGCTTTGGGATAAGTTCTTCCGTGTATGGTTTTATTATTATTATTATTATTATTATTATTATTTTCTTTATGTCTGTTAGTTATTCATGTCTAATTGTAATTTACATTGTGCCATATCTCCAGCTTAAGCTTTCTCATCTTTTTCTGGCAGGGTTATGAAGGAAAATTCTCTGTTTATGTCCATGCTTCAAAGGAAAAGCCAGTGCATGTTAGCCGTTACTTCTTTAATAGGGACATACACAGTGATGAGGTTTATAACTTTTCTTTCTTTCTTTTTCTGAACTTTTCATGATTTGATGTATATGGAGTGATTATCTACACTTCAGGCCTAATTTTTCAGTGATTTTTGTAGAAAATATAATGACTTACCTGATATGAGGGCAGAAGTGCTCTGGAGAAACCTGACTATGAACTGCTTAATTTTTAGTGTATCACAAGTCAAAAGGAAAGATGATTAGTTTTCTTAATCAATTTTATTATTTACATATAGAATTTGTATCCTTAATACATTTATAGATACTCAAGTAATCTTAACATAGAATCTTTGGGCTCATACTTAGTATCTCATATAGCAGTACTACTGCTATGATTCCCATGGTCATTGTATTCTTTTTATTGTTATAACCAAATTAACTCCAATTGTATCAATGTCACTTATGCTATTATTGTTTTTCTTTACCCTTACTTGATGAGATACTATTCTTATGAGCAGCTAAGTCAGAATGGTTGATCAATCATATGTGCAGGTTGTATGGGGAAAAATTTCAATGGTTGATGCAGAGAGACGTTTATTGGCCAATGCTCTTAAAGATCCTGATAATAAGCATTTTGTGTTACTTTCTGATAGGTAAATAGATTTTTCTCTCCCCATACCTGAGGTCAGCACTCTGAATCATGTTACTTCTATCATAATTAATTTCTGACGCATTCTGGTTTTGCAGTTGTGTACCATTGCATAGTTTTGAGTATGTCTACAACTATCTGATGCATTCCAATATCAGCTTTGTTGACTGGTATGTCTTGTCTAATCATTTGCTAGGATTTCATTTATATCTTTTCTGTTTGAGTTTGAGGAGATCTAATTTATTATCAACCCCTCCCCCTTTTTTTTGGCTTGGACTGACTCCTGGAACTGGGGTCTCAATTTTTATCATTTATGATCTTATTGTACATACTTCTTTTCAGCTTTCGGGATCCTGGACCACATGGAAATGGCAGGTATTCAGACCACATGTTACCTGAAGTTGAAAAGAAAGATTTCAGAAAGGGTGCACAGGTACTAAGAATTTAGTTTTTTATTCATGGAGATTATTATGGAGGAAAGTAATTTTATGATTATTGCAGTCTTGAATGGTCTTCGTGGTAGTCCTTTCCCTTTTACTTGGAAAATTACTCACTTGTTTGGCAATTTGAAAATTCTTTTGTAAATGAGTGTTTAAATGTGCTTTCTATAGTGACTGTCAATGTTGAGCTTGTGCACTAGCATTGATGTTGGTTATTTTTGGTTTTAACATGTTGCTCCTTTTGACCTATATGGTACCAAGATGACTAGTGACATGTTAGTTGTAGCCTATGATAGATTTACTGGCTATATATTGTTTTCTAACCACATTTCTTTTCAGCTCATTCTGGATATCTCCCTTTTAAGATATGTGTTCTTAACAATTGCTTGAAGTATCTTATTATAGGAAGCTGTAATAAGTAACACTCTTTTGCAGTGGTTCTCATTGACACGTCAGCATGCTGTGATAGTTTTGGCAGACAATTTGTACTACTCGAAGTTCCGAGATTACTGCAAGGTAAGTTGAAATTTCTTTCTCTGGTCTCCATACATCATTATCTGAGTTTTGTTTCAGATATAAATAGGCATGGATTTGAAACTCTGGCTTTCCTTTACTTTAACGACCTTTTCCCACATTTAGTGCTTCCATTTGGTCAGTTAACTAACCAGTCAAGTAAAATGAAAGCTGCATGGAATGGAACAGGTTTCTGTTCTGTTTTAATTAAAAGATTTAGGTTAGGCATGTTAGTTTGTGTAGCTGTTCATGGCATTTTTATATCTGATTATCTCTATGGCAATTTAGCAAGGGTCAATGTTTTCTCATATTTAACATGCTTTAGTAATTTTACATGTGTAAGTTTTCGAAATATGGATATTGTTAATGAGGTTCAGGCTGCTGTCTGCTAATTCATTGGCATTAATGTTCTTGGTTAATGATTATTTCAGCCAGGTTTGGAGGGCAAAAATTGCATTGCTGATGAGCATTACTTGCCAACGTTCTTTCATGTATGAATCATCTTCAATATCATCTCTTCAACCTGTTTATTTAGACACTTTCTTTTACCAATCTTTAGCAACTCTTAGCATGTCCTCCATCGTGGTTTGTCAGATACTTGATCCTGGTGGTATTGCAAATTGGTCTGTAACACATGTTGATTGGTCTGAGAGAAAGTGGCATCCAAAGTTGTATAAGGCTCAGGATATCACTCTTGAGCTCCTGAAGAATATTACGGTAATCTACTTCATCTTTTAATAATTTCCTATCACAGGTGACAACTGGCTGACATCACTTTATTCTCTAACATCAATCAATTTAATGCAAGAATTTATGCAAGCTAACCAGGTTTTTAGGATCTAGGTTAGAGGTTGAAAGTTGAAAACTCTACAATGTCCAAGCATACCAGCTAATTTGCTAAAAAAAAAAATCATCCTTGATCCAAGGATGATATGATGAATTTGTTATTAACTTTCCTCTTTGGATTTAATGACTAAAAGATTATGGTTTTTGAATTGACTGAGGCCAGATATGATTTCTGACTTAAATAACGACTTTCGATCAGTCAATGATGTATTTGATTCTGACTGTTAATGGGTCTTTCTGCAGTCAATCGATGAAAGCATACATGTCACAAGTGATGAGAAGGTAAGGCAAATCTTTTGTCTTGATTCAGAAGTCCAGAAGTCTGTAAACTTTGTAGGTTCTGAAACAGTTTTCTTTCATTTGGCTTTTATAGAAGGAAGAGCAGGTACAACCTTGTCTATGGAATGGTATCAAGCGACCATGTTACTTATTTGCGCGGAAGTTTCATCCAGAGGCTCTAGATAAACTGTTGAAGCTTTTCCCAGATTACACAACACAGTTTGACAGGGATTTTTGACTCTAAATTCTTTGGATTGATTGGTTTTCATCTTGACCCCCTCACCACTCACTCCATCTTGGCTGCTCGTATGGCATAGAAAGTTTGTAATTGCTGCATCATTGAGGCTTGAATCTATCCCCAGCGATTATTGTTTTGTAGGGTGGCAACAGGGAGGAGCAGTTTAGGTGACTAGAGTGAGGCTGGAGGCTAGCAATTGTTATTTTGTTTCTCCTTTCCAGGAGGGTTATATAATTCTTGTCCATTTTTTCCCTCGATCATGGGCTGTCAATTTGTTAAAGGGATAGAGATTTTTGGGGATTCATTTTCCTCCCTCCCTCTCT